TTATAACCCATGTATAACGAAGTCATTATACGAAGCTAGTTCGAATTGGGACTCTGAACGTAGGATCGCTAACTGGGAAGTCCCGAGAGGTTGCTGATCTGATGACGCGCAGGAATATCCAAGTCCTATGCCTTCAGGAGACGCGATGGAAAGGTGCTAAGGCCAGGGAAATCGGGGAAGGTGTCAAACTCTACTACAATGGAGAAGACACCAAGCGGAACGGTGTGGCCATAGCGGTAGCGGAGTCGCTCAAGGACTATGTCTCCGCTGTGAACAGGATCAGCGATCGGATCATGGCTGTGAGGATAGACACGAAGGAGGGGTACTGGACAATACTGTGTACGCACCGCAGACCGGATGCCCCGAAGTGAGAAGGACGAGTTCTATCTGAGCCTGGACGAAGCCATAAGATCGATTCCGGAAGGCGATTACCTGACCATAGCAGGTGATCTGAATGGTCACGTCGGCAGTGACAGAAGAGGCCTGGAAAGGGTGCACGGAGGTAGAGGGATAGGAGTGAGGAACGCCGAGGGAGAGAGGGTCCTGGACCTGGCTACGGCCCACGATCTGGCAATCTGCAGCACGTTCTTCGCGAAAAGGGAGACTCAGAAGGTAACCTACAGCAGTGGGGGCGACAACGGAAATCGACCATGTGCTGGTAAGAAGATCATCCCTCAGAAACTGTGAAGGACATCAAGGTACTCCCTGGCGAAGAATTGGCTCCCAGCACAGGCCCCTCCTGGCAGACATTGCCATAGACCTCCCCAAGAAGACAAGGGTAAGAACCGAGAGGAGAATCCGGTGGTGGAAGTTGCACCAAGCGGAGAAGATGACCTCAAACGAAGGATAATGGAAGTTGGTCTCCCAGATCCTAACGGGCCAGTACAGCGGACTTGGGCAACGCGGCTGAGACCATCCTGCGATGTGCCAAGGAGGTACTGGGCGAGACGCGAGGTGGATTCAGAGGAGACAAGGCAGCGTGGTTCTGGAACGAGGAGGTCCAGCGAGTCGTGAAGCAGAAGAAGGAAGCATACAAGCGCTGGCAGAAGACCCGGAGCCCCGAGACCTCGCTACCTACAAGAGTTGCAAGAGGCTCGCTAAGGCTGCCGTCGCCAAGGCGAAGAACACGGAGATGGACGCCTTGTACGAGAAGTTGGAAAGCAGAAACGCAGAGAAGTTCGTCTTCAGACTGGCCAAAGCCCGGCATCGGGCTACCCAAGACATCAGGGTGGTGAAGAGCGTGAAGAGCAGTAACGGTGCCATCCTGAGGAAGCCAGCCGAAGTCAGGAGGAGGTGGGAAGAGTACTACAAAGCGCTTCTGAACGAGGAGTTCCCCCACAAAGACAGCTCACAAGCAGAGGCCACAGCTGGTCCCATCGCACTCTGGACAGAGGATGAGGTTAGTCGAGAACTAGGGAAGATGAAGGTTGGGAAGGCGGTTGGTCCAGATGGGGTGCCAATCGAGGCATGGAAGGCGCTCGGAGAGTACGGGATAAGATGGCTCACACGATTCCTGAACAACGGTAACTGCGAAGGAAGGATGCCAGATGCCTGGAGAACAAGTACTATCGTCCCCATCTTCAAGCAGAAGGGTGACGCGATGGACTGCTCCAACTACCGCGGGATCAAGTTGACTGCGCATACCATGAAGCTGTACGAGCGACTGGTCGACTCGAAACTGCGGGAGCTGGTCCCGATCTCCCAGGAACAGTTCGGGTTCATGCCCGAAAGGTCTACAACGGATGCCATCTTCATCGCAAGGCAAGTGATGGAGAAGTATCGAGAAAAGCGCCGACCCTGCTACCTAGCCTTCCTCGACCTGGAGAAGGCGTTCGACCGGCTACCACGAGCGGTACTATGGGAACGGAACGTGCCAGAACACCTGGTCTCGCTGGTGAAGGATATGTACGATGGGGCGAAGGCAGCTATACGCACCCCACACGGCCTAACGAAGGAAGTGGACATCACGGTTGGGGTGCACCAAGGGTCGGCTCTGAGCCCGTTCCTCTTCCTCGACACTAGATGTTCTGGTGAAAGGGGCCTCATGGAAAGGACCGCTTAAAGACCATCCTCTACGCTGACGACATCGCCCTGATAGCGGATAGCAGAGAGAACTACAGGCCAAGGTGCAGAAATGGCAGAACCTGGCAGAAGGTGGGCTCCGGCTGAATGTCAAGAAGACCAAGTTCCTGAGCTCTGAAGAGGGTGCAGAGCCGATCGTGGACGGCCATGGTGAAACATCGAAAGAGTGGAGGACTTCCGATACCTTGGGAGCGATCTGGCAGCCGACGGCAGTGTGGATCAGGCAGTAAAGGCAGGATCAACGCGGCATGGATGAAATGGAGGGAGTCCACTGGAATCCTCTGCGATCGAAGGTGCTCCAGAACGCTCAAAGGAAGGTGTACCGGACAGTGGTAAGGCCTGCGATGCTATACGGCAGCGAGTGCTGGCCCCTGAACAAGAATCACGAAAGGCAGCTTCACTCCGCTGAGATGAGGATGCTGAGATGGGCCTGCGGCTGGACGCGACTGGACAGGGTCAGAAACGAGGATGTCAGAGCGGTCATGCAGACTGCCCCTGTCCAGCTGAAGGTGAGGGAACAGCGTCTGCGATGGTATGGGCATGTGCTAAGGAGGCCACAGGACCACCCGATAAGGAAAGCGATGGACTTCGAAGTGCAAGGCAAGCGACCGCGAGGAGCCCCAAAGAAGAGGTGGAAGGACGTATCAAGAAGGACCTAAGTGAAGTCACGGCCACAGCAGAAGATGCCCTAGGACAGAGCGAAGTGGCGACGACTGACAAAGACAGCGGACCCTGCGACTGCGCGGGACTAACGCTAGGGAGAAGAAGAAGACCCATTGCCGAACGTAATCGGATTCTCTCTGGAAAAATTTTCGTACCAAGTGAGCGAAAATGATGACATGGGCCAGTTGTAACTTGAACGGGACACCGAAGTGGTGGCATGGGCCATCATTGCATCGCCTTGATAAGAAAACTTCGATCGAGTTCAGTGATGGGTACCAGACGGATAGTAGGTACGAGTCATATTCTCTCTGAACAGAGACTTTGTGAGCGTGAACGCTTCGAGCTTCGCGGGAGCCGAGACCACAAATAAAGTTGACCACGGATTCAAAGCGGGAAAATGTGAATTTAAGGGCTCCTTGAGCACTTCAATTTCCCCAGTTTTGCCTGGATACACTCCTCGATGAGTTCTACAATAAGCAGCAGGAGCGATCGCAAAGTGAGCACACAGCTCTTTCTCTGATAAAGCGTTTTCATGCTGCTACCGTCCAGTATAAGGGCTAATATTCCGAACTAATTAGTTATAAATGCTCCACCATTTGTGTGCATTGCATAAGTGGAGGATTTCCTCATTTGTATTACATGCACACCGTAGCTGAATAGCGTTAGAGACATGAGAAATTCTGAAGAAACTTTAGGATGGCATAAGCAATTGACGCGGCCCATTTTCTTCAAAAGAACAGAGCAATTCAAATCCACGCGTTAACCAAAATCAAACAACACCATTCTTAGTTTTCCGACACGCCGAAAACGATGGTTGCTATTTACGAAATTTCCAAACAAGTCAGAAAACTGAAAAATCAGGGGGGGGACATAAGCAATTGACGCACACTGTATTATTACCCACCAAGGTCACTGAGCCACTTGAATTCATCGAGGGGTGTGCCTTTGGTCAAAAGAATGCACGTTGCTTTGAAGCAGGCAGCAGAGCTGCTTTTTCCTTTTCTCTTTCCTATTTCCCAGACGGTTCCGGTCTTCAAGTAATGAGGCGCGGAAAAGGATTTTTGAATTCATCGAATATGATATGCTAAGATTACTCTATTTGACGGCTCATGCACCTGAAGCCAGGATCATCCCCTTCTTCGTTCTTTACGAGGAGGGGGATCGGGTCGTACTTCAGTTTCTATGGGGCGCATCACCATTGCTAGACCTGGCACTGTAGTTTTGAAGATACTTGAAGGAGCACTTTTGGATGTAGGAACAAGTTTCAAGAAACATGGAAAAATTGCGAAAACTTCTCAGATTCTGTTGTACCTATATTTTTCACTCCTCGAGTCAACGTTGATTTTCGCTCACGGAAAGGCAAGGGCTAAGACGGCGATCGTATGGACGAGTTACCGCAACGCGTTTGGTGGCACCATGCCAATCCATGCTCCAGTCGAGTTGCTCCAGTTGTGCCGCTGCTGGCAACACAGCTCGTCCAAATCACCAACTAAACTAGTGGGCGGATCGCTTTTGGGGCGGAGCGCTTTCGAAGTCCTGCTCAGCAACCAGCGCACCTTTCGTCGTGAAAGCGCTACATCTCGCTTTCTCAGGCAACCAAGCTAATACTTCGTATGGTGTATATACTTCCCCATGCGCTCCGTCTTTATTGTAATTGCTTCCTTTTTTAAGCCTTGGATTAAGAAGACTGTATCAAATGAGATGTGTTTTGTAGGCTGCTGCCAAACTGCCTGTTCTTGCCAAATTGCGCAACAATCTGCAAAGAAATAACAGTGGATTATAGGATGTACTACACCGGCCAGGAACCGTGCATTTGTAGGGTAGCTGTGCCTGTGAAAGAAATTAATGCGGTGGCTTCTTCAGGCCTGGTGACGACAGCGTGCGTCTTCACGAAGTCAGCAAACTTCCGCAGTATGCTCGTTAGATTTCTTTTTTTTTCACTTGGTTCTCCTCTTTTCTAGCTGTAATTGAATTCACAGTACTTAGGGTTTAGACTACTCACATTTGGAGCAGCATGTGCCCATTGAACACTGTGCACCCGTAGGACAGGCACTATTCGGCGAGCACTGGCAAATGGGGTTTGACTGTCTCGGACAGACCGGCTCCATTGACAGCAGGCAACATCCTCCTGAATGAAAATTATAAGGAAAAAGAGAAAGGCAGGTGAAAATAGCATGCATCTGGGTGAAGGGAGCGGCAAAGCTGTAGAGGTTAAAGCAACAGGGGATGGTAAAAAAGGGCGGTCAGCTTGTATGCAAAACTAAGTCTTTCCTGTTCGTGCACACGACAAAATGTTGCACTTTGAATGGACAAGAACTAGGGACTTACAGTAAGGAAGGGCATGTGGTGAAAGTGTTTGAATCCGCCAAAAAAACATTTTTTTCTTGGGGAAGGGAAGCGCTTTTTGGGTGTAAAAGCGAAAGCGAATCGGTGCACACACCCCGGAGATTTCCTTCTCCTGCAAAAATTGGAATTTTTGTAGGCAGCAGCAAGTGTCGCATGCCCCCTACTGGATGAGAGTCAAGAAGTAATCATACATGGAGTACTGATCAGCCAGTCACTCCCCCCTTCCTTCGTTTTTACAAAAATGTAGTATGTCTTGGTACCCACCCGCCTATCTAATGGGCCATAATTGGCATGGTTGATAGAGCGGGAGTGTGAAGGAAAAACTAATCAAGCAAATAAGGTTTTGTGATAACTACCTAACAGAATGCGGGAAAGTATTGCGAGAGATGTAAAGAGGCGGCACGGAAGCTGTACAGAAAAGCAGGGAAGAATCGGTGGATGAAGAGAGGCTAAAGTGGAAGAGAGAAATCCAAGCCAATGGCTTGGACAGCGATGAGATCCATGAAGTGCAAGTGAGTATAAAACCATGTGAGAACACTGTACTGCTTATGGGAGTTGTTGGAGAAACGGGACCTCATTCGGTACAGCTTTCGCTCCTAGTGCTAGTGTGCTGGACCACCGCTAAGCATCACCGATGCTACTTTAGGTTGGATTTCCGCATGTTAGTGCATATTGTTCCAGTGCTCACCTAGTGGTGTACATCCAAATCCTGGAGGGCATTCTGCTCCACGGCTACAGCGCTGAGCAGCACGACCACCGTTTGGACACAATGGCGGCGGTTCCTGACAACAGCCTCGGCCTGAAAGAATGATAGGGTGGCGAAGGAACAGTCTCGAATATTATCTTTCTCATGGAAATTTTCTGCGCACCTTCACATACGAATCCCATTGGGCAACTGTTGCCCATACCGCAAACAGAGGCGGCAATCAACCCTGTTGAACACATCGGCATCGCACAACATACTCCATTTTCGCATTGCTGAAATCGTGTGATGCTGAGAACAGAGGCTCGAAGGGACGTTCCCTTATCAGATCATTGGACCAGCTCTTTCGCGAATAAATTTGCCGGGTCCGCAACCGCAGAGGTAAGGTCACACAAAGGAATGCGTGGAAAGGGCGCTGGGTGCTTAGATCTGCAACAATAGTCCGTCTCAAGCAATCATGTATGCGTGTCGCTACAGTTTCTGCCGTTTAGCTCCATGCCCTGTCTTGCTATCCAGACTTCAACCACGCTCAGATAAGGGACAATCTGAAGGTTGTTTTCGATTACTTTCTTGCCTTTTTTCATCATTCGCGATCTAGCGACGTCTACGGTTTCATATTCGAACCCCATCTTAACTTGCCATAACGGTATGTGCCTTTAATACCGACATCGACAGTCATCAAGCTTATAGGCAGCACAAATTTGTTTCTCCTTGAACACACTATTGAGTGATATTTTGGAAAAGTTTTAGTTTCTCTTTTTCGCGTTGCAATTTAGTTATTCCTCACGGGGAACGAGCGTGTCTACATTCAAGCCGATCGCACTTGATAGAAAACTGTAGCTGACATCGGGAAAAGCTGGGCCGGGAAGGGGAGGGAGGGATTGCCCAGGTTCTTGAAAGATCACCACCACCAATGTGATTGCGACGTTCAGTCGAAAACTGGAGGAAATATAAAATTTTCATAGATAATCAAACAGAGATTTTGCGTCAAATGCCGAGTTTCCGATCAAAAGACAGCCCGCTAAGTTAAGGTACTAGGTGGTCAGTGGTGCCAGGATGAAGAAAAACCATGAGAAACGGCCCAGAACCCGAGAAATGGGACCCCTTCCTTGCCCGTTGATTTCCGCATTGATGCGACTCTCATCAGTGCTGCCCTCTTCAATGCAAATGCTCTTTCTGCTAACACGTTGACGACCGTGTGGTATGATGTCATACCACACTCTTTCGGCCACGTGGGACCGTGTGACATGATGTCATGTCACAGTCTTTTTTAAGCTGGTTTTCAAACATTTTAGGTAACTTATTTACGTGATGTATGCGCCATACTTAGGCATTGTTACAAAAGGCGTGGTCCCTGGAAAGAAGCTTCGGTTAATGGGCTATCGAGTTTTTCAAAAAATGTTTGAATAATGATCAGTAGTCGCACTTTTTGTGCTTAGGCTGAAATTGATCGGTACAAAAAATGTTTGCAATAATAATTTGCTACAGTGGGTGAGGACACTTTTGGTCGGAGACGGACATATGCGCGTCCTTTGATCCTGCATAGTTGTAGCCGCTTCTGTTGTCTGTGAACGTTTTCCTTTGCCTCCGTTCCTCCTTTCCCGCAAACCTTCGAGTCTGTGAGTGGTTTTCGACATGTAGGTCCGATTGTAATCCAACGATCATATTATAAGCTCGAGATAGGGGACCAGGAAGTGATCCTAGGAGGGTACCTCTTAATCGCACGTTAGCTTTGGCCCTTTCTACGCACTCTCAAATCGCAGGAATAGCTGAAATGACCAAAATCGCAAAATCCGAGACTTACCACACAA